TTTTAAAAATATAAACAATAAATTACATTTATTGATTAAAGTTGTCCCATTATGCCTTTATTAAATAGGCAAGAGTAACCTTTACACTCTATAAATCAATAAAAATTTCATTAATTGTTCTAAAAAAAAATAAAATGCCTTTACTAAAATTGTCCTCTATTATATTATTTTAAGGTATAATTATTAAAGTAGTCTTTCCAATCTAATAATTCCTAGTGATTTTTGTTAGTCTTCCTTTTTTTTCCTTTCTTTGTCTATGCTAAAATTACTTTATTCTGTTTTATTTTTGCTAATTTATTTATTTATTGATTTATTAGGAGAAATGTTGAGCCTTTCCAATATGTTTGGATTGATGCCTCTTTTGTAATATTGACTCCCATGAGGCATTGAGGTTCAGTTTGTTCGACCTCCTGTATGTATCTTTTATGTTTGTGTGAATGAATTTTCATATTCACCTTTAAAAAATGAAAAATACTGTAACTTAAATTGAAAGACGATACAATTTTAGTCTTGTCTACATTTTTAATTTTGTTCCTGTCATTATTATTTTTTGGACTGGTCTTCTGCACAGAGATTGTAAAGTGAGTCACGTGTTTATGTCCTTTTGCTTCAGATTTTATTTTATTTTGTCTGAGATAAGGCAATTGCTTTTACTCCAGAACTTTCATTTCCTTTTCCCATTGAAGAGATATTAGTTAGCGTAAAGGGTGGTCACTTTTATTAAGGTTTTAGTTTTATATGTCAAAAGTTTATATCACGCCGTACTCTTTTCACCGCATTTCCCTTTGCTAAGGTGACGTCGCCTTTATAAAACTTACATTCATATATATATATATATATATATTGTTAAACTCATGGTAATGTGATGCGATGCTGGCAATCCTATATCAATAAAAGTGTAATTGTGTGATATATAAAAGTCATCATCAATTATTACTAATTATTTGTGCTTTCTAGAGCAAATTGCTTCTTAACCTGAAAAGTTGAATATATCATTAGCATCAATCCGACTTGAGGACTAAGTGCATAACAAATGGTACATGGCAAATTAACAAGCGCCGATAAAAACTTTAAAACTCATAAGAGAAAACCATTTTCCTTAGCTTGTTTTTTATTTTTATTTTTATTGTTGATTTTGTCTTAACTTGATTTTTTTTTATATTATATTTTTTTATATTTAAAAATCATATTAAATTTGACTAATTTAAAATTATATAGTCCCTAGAACTCATTGCTCACAAACCAGAGTGGACCTAACTGGTTCAATTTATTTTTCTTTTTTCATTTGGACAAACTAACAAGCATGTAGAAAAACCTTAAGCTGCCTTAACTTGTTCTCTTTTTTTTTTTAATAATTTGTTTATTTGTTTTTTTTTTTTTTATGTTGCCTTAACTTGTTCTTTATGCAATAAAGAATGTGTTATTTTAGAAGTCCTGGCAAAACGCATGTTATGGCAGCATAAATATATATATATATATATATAATCAAAGTAAAACGTGTGTGGACACACGTTAACACCAAAACAATCTTCTGAAACGGCTGGACCAAACTAGTTCAATTTACTTCTCTTTTTCCATTTGGACAAATTAACATTCATCATAAGAAAAAACTATTTGCCTCAGCTTGTTCTTTTTTTTTTTTTTTTGGTCCTTTTGATGTTGCTGTAGCTTGTTCTTTCTGCAATGAAAAATGTATTACTTTAGAAGTCCAGGCTAAACACATTACCAAGTGCTACATGGCAATTGGACAATCCTGAGACCTGCCTTCTCCCGA